GTCCCCCTCTGTGCCGCCTGCTTCCCCGTACGCCCGATCACTGCCCGCCCGGTCAGTACTACCCCTCTCCCTCACGCGCCCCCCTCTCCAGCTTGCACGCGCCCTGCGCTGCCCCCTCTGTGTCGCCTGCTGCCCCCGTACGCTCGACCACTTGCCCATCTGATCAGTACCCCCCCCCTCGCTTACGCACTTACCTCCCCGGCCTGCACGCGCCCCGCGTCGCACCCCTCTGTGCCGCCTGCTGTCTCCGCATTCCCGATCACTGCACCCTGCAAACACAACCCTTCCTCCGTCCATCCAGATCATTGCACACCCGGGCAGTACACTGCCACATTTACACAAACAGGATCAGTACCATAAATATATACTTCCGCAGTCCGGTCCTCACTCAGTCTCTTTACCGAGGAAATTACTTCCAACGCAATCTAAAAATGAAAGCGTTAATTTTTTTACACCTCATAATTATCCGTACTTTGAAATGTTAGTTTGTCAATGAGAGAATTCAAAAACGAACAAGAAACTAAACTCTAAGATGTTGATTTTTATATATTTATTTTTCAGACATAGTGACGCCAGCCAACTGAAGAATTCAAAACTAAGAAGGATAAATAATAACATAAACAGGATAATTGTGCCACAATACTGCGGTTAAAAATATTTACAAATTGTTCATAACTTTATCCCATACATAAGGAAAAATGTTCCCTTTTCTGTAAACATTTTTAACAACAATTTGAGAGCACCATTAAGGCCAACTTTTCAATCATCAGTTAATTCTTACCTGTAGAATAAAATTTACATTAATTTGACAGCTTTTAGTATGGATGGAAGAATAATCAAATATTCAAAGTTATTGCTCAGTTAAAATTCTATCTGATGTTGGAAAAATCGACCCTAAGTCTTTAAATATAATTCTCAAAGTATTTTCGGTAATTAATTTAAGTATAATGAAGAAATTATATTTAATTAATGATAATTATGAATGCAATTTGAATATACTGAGTATATTGGAAACTCAAGTTACCAACAATGCTTTATAGGTACCTAATTAAAATAAATATCAGCCTATAGCTATCTCGATTGTGGCTCGGTATGTCTCACAAAATTTATAATTTAAACGTTTTGTCCGATTCCTAATATCGACTAGACAATCCAATAATTAAAATAATTCATAATTTAAGGGTTTTTCTTCAGATTTAATGATTCCTAATATTTTTACGCTCAATAGATCCACTATGTATAAGTACAATTTAGTTTTATAAGAATAAAGTTCCAAACTTATTTTGTAAATATAAACGAATTTATTATTTTTATTTTTTTTTTTTGGTATATATCTACTATTTGTCACAGTTCATTGCGTATGGAGAAGTGCAGAATTTAATTAAAATAATGTAGTTGATCCTTATTTTTTGTAAATATGTGTATTGTACCTAATATGTTTCATTTAGTATAGAAAAATATAAAATTAAATATGTGTATATATCAGTGGACAAAGATTTTTTATTACTTAGACACATTCTACATTATAATGCTACATTATATTATATCCTATATTATAGTGCTGAGTGTATGAAGATCAGGGTGTTCTACCCTGGCCGGGGAAATTATTAAGGTTTGCTATTTGAAATTGATCATGTTTAAATTACAATATACTGGCTTCTGCCCTCGATGGGTACGAACCTGCAATCCCTTTTTCCCCTTCCCGTTCGTTATTTTTGGTAAAAATATATATTATATATTTTTATAACATGAAGTAGCTTTTCCCTTAAAACAAAAGTAGCCGAAAGTATATTTTCTCTACATTCTGCTGTGGGCAATAAAAATGTTTCCTGTTACATTATTTATAACACCCATACTGATATTGCAAATGGGACAAAATGACGTGATTTTTAAGTGGAGATAGTTGAAGGAATGGAGAGTGACATAAGCAACTTTTTGTCTTCTTCTAACCCTTCAGTGGGTGATGAAGTTTCTATGGAGTTAGTATTCTGAAATTTCCTACGTAGAAAGGTGAAAACTTGGTGTGCAGGCTATTTGTGACTTACAAATAAATCACGCGCGAGTACCTAGTTTATTAAAGCACCAATCTTTAATGGTGCAGTGACGATTAAAACTAACGATCAATTAGTACAATAATTGGAACAGCTAGCTCAACAATCCCTTTGATCAAGTGTTATTAGGACAAAATGTTTCGCCGAACGCTGCTGCTTTTCTCAATTATTTATATATCCGCGTGCAATGGACAGACAGAAGCTCCCGAAAAGAACCGTATGATGGGAATAGACGCCGTTCATGACAACAACGTGAAAATCGACAAAGACACAATAATTACTCGTAATTTGAAATTGGAGAAACGAAGCCGTGGACCGAAATGTATGTAAATTTTAGTTACTCTTCCGGCAACATCAGACGATTATAAATTCGTTGCCGAAAAATTGTTTTTTTTTTTATTGTATACTATGTATGTAATTATCAAATACTAGTTTAATATTTTATTATGCCTTCTAAAACAATTTTTTCATATACAGAACTAACTATAGTGTGTATAATCCTCGAAGAAACTGTGTCAATCACGTCTACACTTTTAGTAATCGTTGGCACAAGCAAAAATGCACGTAGCTTGTCACTGTACAGGTATTTCTCTCTCTATTGCACTTTGAATGGAATTTACTTCATCAGTTATCTAACAGATTTTGGCATTCTTATAAGACTGCCATATCCCAGGAAGACAGCATATTCAAAGTGCAATGAAGACCTCTGATTAGTATGAAATGAACAACACAAATGTTGAGTAACTTCTGTTTTTTTAAGCGGTTTCAAATAAAAATGAGGATCAAATAGAGCCGGACTGGTCCTATGCGAATTTTCCCAAGGAAGTATCGGAACACGTTGAGAAGTTTAAAAAGAACATGACCGAGTGCTTGAAGGAAGTTCAGACTAGTGACAAGAGGCCTGTCAAGCGCCTCTCTCCTAAAATGGAGTCTCCTGTTCATGGCGAATGTCTCATTGCTTGTGTTTTAAAACGTAACGGTGTTATTATTAATGGAAAAGTTAATAAAGGTAAAATATTTCACAATGCATAAGAATTAGATAATACTTACATGTCATTATCGCTAATATGTATATTATTATGCTAATAATAAGTACATAGTAATGTACAACGTACCATTGCAAAATAAGAAAATTTAATATTCACGGGCTACCTTAAAGTACATAGGTTGGACAACTTTTAAGGCTTGTACTTTCAATTGTACTCTATTTTTCAGATAACTTAATAGCTCTTGTAAGTAAGTTCTACTCTAAAGACACCAGGCTCATGAAAAAATTGGAGAAGAATTTGGATCGTTGCATTGAAATGAGTGTGCGTGCTCAAGACGACTGCGCGTTGGCTTTGGTGCTAAACGATTGCACGAACGACCTCATGGCCAGTAATAAACACAAAATAATGGTTAACTATTAAATCACCGTAGTTCATAAAGCTACGATAACAATACATGTTAGTTTTCCTTACATATATTCCTATAACGTTATATAATCTAAGTTTCTTTCCTTATTTACTCGTGTAAAGACGTAAAACAAACTCGTATAATAGTATAAAGCCCTCAGAATAAGAATGAATTAAAGTGTAAGGTTTGGAGTTTACCTAGGACAATATTTTACTCACCACAAGCCTTAGTACTGATTGATTGGTTCATTGGAGACAATCACAGCGCCGAACGCGTACTCGTTTTGATTACTTTAAACGTTAAACATACTCGTACTAAGCTCTCTGATTGGTTGGTACATTGGTGCCGGCCAATCAGACCCTTATTGACAGACCCACCCCATCTAGGTGTAAAGTAATAAAATAAATATAGCGGTTTCTCATATAGGTATAACCTGACACTATTTTTACTTTTAAAAAGCACAAAATTAAATAGTATACGTATTAAGTATTTTCAGAGTTCAATATAAGAACAAAGATGGGGAACTATTTGTTTATTGAAAGGAAATGTGACGTCTTACGATGCTCAATTATGGCCAAGGCCACCAGTGTTTTGCTCATTATCATCCACATTATTTTTCCAAAAATAGAATATTAAAATATTTTTAAATGAAAAAAAAAAACAATGAATATGTATTGTTTTCTTAAAAGCTACTGTAAACAACATATTTAATATTATAATGTTACAACAGTCAAACCAATTTGTAGTGTTTAAAAATTCTTATTGAAAACCATAAGGGACGCATTACTCGCCCCTAAAATTTTCGAAAGTACCTATCCTCCAAAAATAATCATTCTAACATACCTCCTCCTTTCTTTGAAGTCGGTAAAAATGTATACTGCTTGGTACGTTTACAAGGACCATTATTGTTTTCTTAAAAGCTACTGTGAACAACTTATTTTATATTTTATTGTTACAACAGGCAAGTAGAACATACCTCCTTTTTTGAAGTCTAAAAAAATATTGGCGATGCAGATTCAACTAGCGCCTCTAGTGTCAAAATTGTGAAGCTGTCTAATAACGACACTGACAGTTTTCGTATATAATTTACGTCACAGAAAAAAATATTTATTAAATAAATCAGATTTATGTGGTTTCATGTATATAAATATTTAATTAAATTTATACTAACTATCAATAGCAAAATTAGTCACTTCATTACACTCGAAATCAATCCCCTATCCTTTATCCACCATCAATCCATCATTAAACTCCTGATTCACTTACAATATGTTTATCTGATGCTCGGCCACCATTAGATCCACTTATTTCAGTTAAGAGGCCAGAAGGAGTTATTCCAATATTAAACTTAACTGTATTGCTCTTTTATATTGAGAGTATGTCACTATTCTACATTTTAAAGATTAACATTTTTCAGTCGCAGTCTGAGCACAGTCTAATATTATTCTAGTATTTTTATATTTTTGGAATAATTTAGATAAGTTACTATTTATCATTTCGGTATCAGGCCAAGGAATAATAATTTTGAGTACTGTACTCAGCATGAGGCTCATATTGTTAAAATAATTAGAACATGTCTGCCTATTTATACCAAACAACACCAATGACTCTAAATGACATATTTTGTTTAATTATTACCATTGTCAAAATAACTCTGTCTCTCACAGATAACATTTTCTTGTTTGTTGGAGCATTTAAGGCCAACTCACTAACACAAGTCACCAATGTTTCTAAAAGTTCAATTGCGCGAATACCCATAAAAGTAAATAAAGACATATCACTGCTGAGTAAACCTGAGAGGGTAAATTGCTTTAAAGATCAGCTATCTTTCCCCTTTCCAGGAAGAAAATTTATTTGATTCATAATTTTGTCTTTTGGAAATAATTGAAAACTTATTCCCGAATCTCCGTAAGTATTACATAGAGGAACGCAACAATATTTTGTTTTTCTGCTCTTATTAAAAACAGGTTTCTGTATGTTATCGTTATCCATGTGATTATGTTTATTAACCTCAACTCGAAACCAGTGTCGTTCTTAGACAACTTCTAAATTTTGCTGCTAGAGGCGCGTGGATAATCTTTGCATCGCCAATAGTGCTTGGTACATTTAAAAGTACCATTATTGAGGACCCAAAATGCTGGTCATCTAGACACCGCCTGCTCTCTTTTTAGATGGAGTAGTCCTAAAAACAACCTAAATACAATGAAATAAAAGTATTTCAAAATAATACATTTGTTTTATTTTAAACAGGTACCTAGTAACTATTTATTTCATCTTGATAAAGATAAAGTGATTTTAATAAACAATCTATAAAATAAATACTTACTACATACTTACTTATAGACTGTTAATGACGAAAATTTTGATGATTCTACTAATTTGACTTACTTATTAGAAATTAAACCTTACACGCGTGCTAAGCAACCTGTTTTCAGAAGAAATACTTTCTCATAGAGCTAAGCTTTGTATGTCAGGCCTCTGCCCCGAATCTTGATTTTACACATAAAATCTTGCCGCTGCCCCTGCCCGCAAGATTCAAGGTGAAATGAGATACTAGTTTTCATATCCGCCACAAGACGTCCACTGCTACTAAATGTAGGCCTACCCAATGACAGTCGCTTACAATACGAATTTGCATTTTCGTAGGCACCTAGGACATGAAAAAGATTGTGAGGCATACTCTGTAAAACTCTATAGGCACATCGTGCTAGCTGAATTAGCAGGATCATTACTAAATACAAAGTGTAATAATCATTATCATCTTCAGTACCGAACAGGTATTTACACTTTTATTTGTAAACAACCACATTAGAGCACATTGACATTTTTCAGTTAACTGTCATCTGTCATTTGTAATTAATGTCTATTGAATTGTCAAAAGGACATAATTGCCATAAAAGAAAAAAAAAGGTGGCTCTACACTCGACGTTGCGTATTTGTTATGTTCGGCTACAAAAGACCATGTGTAGAGGATTTATTTGTTTCTATTTGCTATATATTTGCACGCCATTATATTTAAGGACACTATTTGGACGCA